TTACCTTGATCTATAAGACCCGCTCTCGTAGTTGACTTGAATGCAAATGCTTAAAAACAAACTTAACGATCAATAGTTCAGTTAAATGTGTAATGTAATAATAAACCGCCCCATCAAATCCACTCAATAAAGAGACGGGTGGTTGGGGCTGGTACCAAATATCTGAGGTCAGTAGCTTGATAATTAATGATGTTAATCAAAATTCGAAATTCACTATCTTATGTCAATCATATAACAGCACAAAACAAAAGGAAAACAATAAATAAATAAAAGAAGAAACAAATTTGCGCAATTTTTCTTAGCTTAAAGTTAACACCGTTCTCATAAAGGTTACGTAACTTCAGAAGAAACAGTATTGCGCAATTTTTCTTAGCTTTTGGTATTGCAATGCCAGTTAACAATGCCATGACAACAACCTTGCCTTAAAACCACAGAAAAGCAAATATATGCTTGTGTCCACTCGATAACTTGCGCGTGCTCATCAGCTCGACGACTACCAAGCCTACCTGTATGTGCTGGAAAAGACTACTTCAACCCGTCTTCTTGGTACTGAGATTCATCAACATTTGAAGTGGAACAATGATATCAACTCAAAGATGTCTAGTTGCTATGGGACTTTAGCTGTTCTTCGAAAACTGAAAAACTTTGCTCCATTTCACACAAGGAAACAGCTAATCGAATCTCTTATTTTGTCTAAAATAGAATATAATGACTCAGTAACCTATACCATGCCTGATTATCGTGTTAAGCGAATGCAGCGTTTGCAGTTTGCTGCTGCGAGTTTTGTAAACAAACGTTGTGTCTTGCAGATATCTGACATTCTTAAACTAGGCTGGCTAGTTTCATTTGAGTGAGCTAGTATTTAAGGCAATACATTCTAGTCATTGGCCTTCTCATCTTATGTTAAAACAACACATATATACCAGCACGTTCTCTCCGCGCATCTAGTGAGCTTAAGCTTACTGTGCCGTTGATATCACAGGGAACCCGGCTATATTTTTTTGCTTCTTTTAGAAAAGAAACTTTGCTCTTTGTGGGTTTCCTGTGTTTTGATCGGTTTCCTATTACATAAGCTGCAATCAGATCTGCTCTGTGATCAGATTGGCGCTGTAAACTGATAGCCGATTAAATTCAAATCAATAACCATTGGTGTTTTGTTTCTTATGGGTTGCCTGTGGTGTGTAACGCACTTTCTAGTAAGCAGTCAAAAGAAGAGAAGGGATGCAACAAAGCAAGTGTCCGATTTTAAAACCCCTGTTCAAATTATTCATGAAGGTAATTTATTAATAAAAAACCCATGTAATGTTTGCTCAATGAACAAACTTTGGGTCCGGATGTTTTATTTTGTTGAACTCGTAAAAGTAACGATCTTAGAAAGTGATATTTAAAAGCTATGTTTTAGTTATATGTTCACCTCCAGTTGCTCGGACCGCTTAGCTTATGAAACAGGATGTATCTGGTGTACGTCCAATTTGAAACAAAAGCATTTGACAGCTTGTTGACAGAGAGATCTAAATTTCCATATATTGTGATGAGTAATCGTAGGGAAAACTTGCTTTAGTTATCCTGCCGAATTCATTCTAAGGCAAAACATTTTCTTTATCTGAAGTCTACTCGTGCATCTTCAAGATTTGAGATACTGGACCTGTTCCTTCTTTACACACTGAAAAAATTTTCAAAAGCCTTAAATCATAAAAAAACATTTTCTTATTAGAACTGATAAAATATAATTGTTTTAGTTTAAAAAAACGTTTAAATTTGAAATAGCCGTTACTCACTAAAACACAAAATTCAAATTCCCTTATTTACAGGATTTTACAATTTGAACATTTTCGAACAACATGACGCAACCGAAACATGAAAATCATCATGACTTCCTGCTGGTTGTACTAAAGTAGCTGGTCCGAGCAACTGGAGGTAATAATCATACGATAAAAGTTGCTTTGTTGCAGCCCTTCTCTTCTTTTGAGTGTTTACTAGAAAGTGCGTTACCAACGGTTATTGATTTGAATTTAATCGGCTATCAGTTTACAGCGCCAATCTGATCACAGAGCAGATCTGATTACAGCTTATGTAATAAGAAACCTATCAAAACACAGGAAACCCACAAAGAGCAAAGTTACTTTTCTAAAAGAAGCAAAAAAATATAGCCGGGTTTCCTGTGTCCTCACCAGTAGGCCATGTCTTTCTTGATATGACCATTGTTTGATATTTGGATAGGTTGCCAGACAGGAAGTTGTCTTTGTACCATTCTGAAGTTCATGTCTGGAGTAACACTGATGGTCGTCAGCATATGCAGACAGCTGACTTTCCCTGTCCATATAGAATAGGTCATTTGATATATATTCCAAAGTAATAAATATTATTCATATTGCTTTTTCATTATTTTTCTGAAATATAGGGGAATAAATATTCAAGCTTTTGCAAAACATTTGAGTGTTGGCTGTTGCTAAATTGTTATAAGAAAATGTTTTCTATGCATTTCCGAGTAGTTTTGCTTTAAAATTAAGTTGAATTCCTGTGTTGTGTACACGGACGTACGTACGTACGGACAGAAGTGACGTAGTAGTCAAGCCATCAAAAATCAACTTGATGGTTTACCATTTTCTCAAGTATGGTGCTCCGCGCGGGAGATCCGCTATAGCCTAGATTACTTGTTGTTGTTTGTAGGTTGTCAGTTTGTTTTATAAAAGACAATGACTCTAATTTATAATCGTATCTCTGAACAGAGATGGAGTTTATCATAACTCCATTTAAACTAGCCTGTATAAATATTGACTTAAGAGTGATTGTCAGAGAAAACCGGGCAGGGGCAAAAGATCGGGGTAGGCCGATTTGCACCAAATGTTCAGCAATAAAAGACTATCCGATTAGATGACGAACCATGGTAGTTAAAGTTTCGTTGAGCTTTTTTTCCCCGAGATAGACCACCCCCCTCGGTTTTCGATCGTGATCGGCCTTTGGGATGCCAAAATCGATCTAAGGCCAAACTTCAACCTCTCAAAAGTCAATACTTCTTTATCTCTGCAAGTTTTAATATTTTGTTTGTGAAATGTATCATATGATCGAGAAGTCTTGAGGTTTTGAGTCAAATACGATGAGTTTTTAAATTTTGTCCCGGACTTGAACTTTGCATACAAAGCCTGTTCAATTCACGATCTAAAAATTCGTCAACTTTCAAACATATTTTCTCAAAAGTGCGGCAGTTATTTTTTAAATGAATAACATTTTTCCAAAGCTCTACGTCAGAGCTTTCAGAAATCGTAAAGTTAAAATTGGGATCTAAAAATAAACGAACGCGAGCAGCTTTCAAAGTTGGCAAAAATCGCCTTCTGAATTTGCGTAATTGCGTTGTGTTTRCTTCCGGTTGACACAAGGCTGCGTTACTGACTCCCGTCTTCGACAATACAAAGCTTAAAATTTGTTTTCCAAAACAATTTCAACTAGAATAACCTTATTTTATCCAAATTAAAGTTATTTAACGAAGAAATCCCAAGTAATACGACTCCGTGAGTATTAAAAGACTGTTTATATAAAGCTAATTTACATAAATTTTAAGGCAAGAGTACTTTATTTGCATTTTATAAGACATATTTAAAAAAAAAAAGTTTTCTCTCTGGGAACGCATGACTAAGACTTAATTACTACAATAAAAGAAGCAAAAAGGCACAAATTATTGCACAAGCATTATGTTCGATTCGTTTCCTCGACGTCGTTTTAATTAATGAATTGTCATGGTTTTCCATGTAAATTGTAACGCAATACACTGAAATGATTAGTGCCGTCATGTAGACGTGTCCGATCGCTGTATCCACACATATCAACCAATTTCTAGATCTGAGATTGAAAGGTTGTTAAATTAAGTTGAACTGAAATCCCGATACCGCGAACAGTTATATCTAGAAACTATCTACCATTATATAACTACTCCTCCAACTAGGTGTTCTTGCACGAGCATACAAGTAAGAACTGTTCAATTGGTTCTACGTATGTCCTTTTTCTTTTCTTTGGCCMCTCAACTTGAATTTCCAGGCTTTCACAAATGGTTTGCAGATSAACTATCTGGAGGCTATTCAGTTTCCCTTCATAGGACAACTGACACAAATTTCTTTTTCCAGTTGTAACAGGATGACTGGGGACATTCATGTCTTGAAAAACAGCATTTCTAAGGCTTTCTAATGACTCCTCGGCTTCTAGAGCTTCTATGTCCTCATCTGATAGCTCGATTTCCTCATCGCTCGGATTCATTTGCTGTTGTTTCCGCTTGGCTGACAGACGCGAGAAAAAACTCTTTATTTGCTGTGCTGTCCTCCATTSCTGTGGCTTGAAAAGAGGCTTTCCATTTCTGTCTTTTACTTCTTTCATTTCCCTTGAAACTTGAGAGGGATCTACTTTCAGGCCCGTTGCCACACCTGAATCAAACTGTTCGATTAGAAACATTTTGGCTTTCTTTCCTAATTGTTTGCATGTCCTCGTGCTCTTTAATGCCCATCCAATAGCCGTTTCATTTTCTTCGATCTTTGAGTGCTCTTGTTCTTGGTTGGATCGTGGGACACTCTCTGCTGTTGTCCCTACAAATTTTACACCAGTCACTTTCTCAGCCCATGTTTTCCTTACTGAGCCATACATGGATTCCTTCTCAGTTGTTCTCACGTGCTTTCCAGTGTCCATATGTGCTTCTGCTTCATCTCTAGTCTTGAAAGTCAAAATGCAATCAGTCTCACTGCATGAGTAGATGTCGTGCTTGATCACAGGGTTTTCGGCATGCCGTGCAGCTACTAAACCAAGTTCTCTCGTGCGGGAGCTAAATGGCTGGACAATTTCTAAGCCAGTTTCCTGTTGGGCCTGAATTTGAAGCTCCTTGTACTTGATCAGACGTCCTGGTCCGATGTTAAAACTTCGCCAGGCTCGTATCCCATAAGAAAAAATGTTCAAAAGACTTATTCCTGGTATCTTGTTATCTTTACCATTATCTCTCAAAGGATTTACTTTGGCTACAGCAACTCGACATCCTTTGAGGCTACCATGCGACTCGAGAGCTTCTTTCATATTCTCGGCTGAAGTAACATCATGCTTTTCGTTTACCCACCTTCTGATATGAGCTTTCATTGGGGCAACTTTGCGGTCGCAGATGTCCTTTCCTGCTTGAGGATCTGAAAAGTCGTATCTCAAAGGCGTAATACCAGTTCTCTTGCCAATGTATGGTAGGCTTAGTAGAAGAGGGCCATTGTGGTAGCATGAAGCATTATCTGAGCGCATGTAGGCTTTCTTGATGGAAGGATAATCTTGTCTGACAGCATGAAACAGGTTTTCGACAATAGATGTTACTGAAAAGGCATCTTGAACACAAACATTAAAGAGATGTACATAGCACTCAACGTGGTATGCTCCGTCCTGTTTGGTGATTACAGCAGMGACGTGCCAACTTCTCCCTTTCTTGCCGAAGAAGTCGCTCATGCGCTCTCGATAACGCTGGGGTAGGAACTTCATAGCCCAGTCCATAACGATTAGGCAAACGTCATCAGTGAGGTTGGATAGGGCTTGTTGCTTTGCTTGGTCTTGATTGATGAGTCGCAGTAAATGTGATTTCCAGGCATTGATAGAACGAATACATTCTGCACTTCAAACCTCTTGATTGCTCGCTGTTCTTCAGTATATGTAATCTCGACAGCCTCGATTTTTTCATTGATATCTTGAAGAACGCTTTTTAGGGATTCACATCTTTCGCATAATACATCATGGTTGTGTTGACAATCACTTGACAAAGCAACAGCGTTTGGGTCGCTGAGGGCATATTTGATGCAATGGTCTTTACAGTGCTCGTTACTGCTAGCATGTGATTTATAGTCAGCCTTTAGATACCTTTTCCCTTCTACCTGTTGTTTTTGAGCTACTTTACCCCATTGCTCACCAGCTCCGTTTTCCACGAGGGAATCTACGACTTTCATCACGTTATCAAAAGCCTCAGTCCCTTCTGCAGTCAGGTTGTCTAGTCCTTGAAGAGACTTTTGCATGGATGCAGAACATACTTGAAGCATTCTCCATAGCGATCGATCACTAGCTGGCTGGAACTGATGGAACACGCAGTAGCTTTTGTACTGAGAAATAATTCGTGATGGTATCATCGTTCTGATGCATGACCGCCGGAATCAAAATATTTTCTCCTGAGTCGAGCTTCATGGTTTTGGTTCCAAAAGCAACATCTTGTAAGAATTCTGGTTGGGATATGTACTCTATAAAATGGTCTACCTTTGCTGGTTCGATTCTTTGGCGAAAGAGAGGTTGAGTAGACACAGGCTGACCTTTCCCTGTCTCGATGCCATGTATACGTGCCTGGTCGATTCTCCACTTTGACAGGTATTAATTCTTGAAGTTCAGTTTTTGTAAAATCGTTAGCAAAAAGAGACAGAATTTGTCTTTTGATYTGCCATGACGCTGCTTGGTTGTATGCTTTCACAAGAACATTCACCAACCCTTCGGTTCCATCAAAGTGAAGCCTATTAGCACTACCAGTTGGTTCGATTCCAGGTAAAGTTCCTCGTTTGATTGACTCCCACAATTTGTGTTCTTGGCCAGGGCTGAAAGTTGTCAGCGCAGTTGATATCATCTCCTTTGCTTTTCTTGAATAATATTTTTGTTGGGTAATGGAGATGTCATCCCAAGAAGTATTTAACGTTGATAATACAGGACTAATGCGACCACTGCTCAACTCGTTGATCGCTTCATTCAAGGTGTGTCGTTTCTGCTGTTGTAGCTCCATTTCATCTTCCCATATGCTGACTTCCTGATCAGGTACAGTACTCTGTGATGACTGCGACGATGTTGTTTCAGTCTCATACTGAACTTGCGGAGATGGGGAACTTGGTTCATACTGAACATGCGCAGATGAGGTACTTGGTTCATACTGAACATGCGCAGATGAG